TCTTCTTAAAAACTTCCAGTGTTGGCGCATTCACCACTTCTGGAGGCAGGTTGTTCCACTGGTTAATTGTTCTAACTGTCAGGAAGTTTCTCCTTAGTTCTAGGTTGCTTCTCTCTTTGGTTAGTTTCCACCCGTTGCTTCTTGTCCTGCCTTCAGGCGCTTTGGAGAATAGCTTGACTCCCTCTTCTTTGTGGCAGCCCCTGAGATACTGGAACACTGCTATCATGTCCCCCCTCATCCTTCTGTTCGTTAAACACCAGGCTTTTCCATACCTTGCACTGAGCTCCATTAGACTCTGGTTGACGACATGCAGAGATCGTGGTAAGGGCACCAGGCTTCTCCATGCCTTGCACTGAGCTCCATTAGACTCTGGTTGAGCCAGGGCGGTCTCGTGACCAAGATGTTGGATGGGTTGAGGTCCACTCCATGAAACTAGACGTAGCTCAGCCTCTCTCATACAGCTTTTGCAGTCGGGGAAAAAGGCGAAGGAGAAAGCGTTATCTCTGCCACTTTGAACCGCTGAAGGACAAGATAGACATCATTTTTATTTATTTTATTAGTCATAATAAAATACACAAAAATGATGATGGTGATGATGATGTGCAAGTTTGGGAAGATGTGGAGAGACCTGGCCTGTAAAATTGCCGAGAATCGGACTCAACTAAATGGATATCATCATCATTAACTCATAAGCCATCAGGGCTCTGGGTGGTGTATACAGGTGGTCCTTGACTTACGACCACAATTGAGCCCAAAATTTATGTAGTTAAGTGAGACATTTGTCACGTTTTGCCCCATTTTACGACCTTTCTTGCCACAGTTGTTAAGTGAATCACTGCAGTTGATAAGTTAGTAACACGGTTGTTAAGTGAATCTGTCTTCCCCATTGATTTTGCTTGTCAAAAGGTTGCAAAAGGTGACCACATGACCTCGGGATACAGCAGTGGTCATAAGTATGAACCAGTTGCCAAGCATCTTGAGTTTTGATCACATGATCCTGGGGATGCTAGGAAGGTTGTGAAAAATGGCCACTTTCTTCAGTGCCCTTATAACTTTGAGCAATTACTAAATAAACTATTGTAAGTTTATTACAATACAGGACTGCCTGTATTGTACAATAAAATAACAACAATGTAATAATAACAATAGAATAAGATGGAAATGAGGTACTGGATGTGTACTGATTGCAATGCATTGTTTGTAACGATTAAGATGCTCAAAATCCCTACATTAAAACAACACTGCTGCATTTGGACGAGTACCACGGCAGGGAGGGAGTGGCTGACTACAGGTGTTTTTTTTTCTCCCAATTGTGTTCACGGATTTTACTTTCTGTGAAGTTTGATAGTTGGGAGAACATCAAAAATAGTATCTCTCAATCCTGTGAAGATGGTACAGCCCCACCACCACCACCACCACCACTGTAAAGTCCAACCGCTTCAATCTGCTGCTATGTAGAATATTCAGGCCACAACAGGAAAACCACAGCAAGACGAGGGTTGGAGTTATTTTTTAAGTGAGCCGCCTTTAATCAAAGAGAGAAGCAACCTAGCACGTAGAGAAGAAATTTCCTGACAGTTAGAACAATTAATCAGTGGAAAGACTTGCCTCCAGAAGTTGTGGGTGCCCCAACACTGGAGGTTTTTAGGAGATTGGAGAACCATTTATCCAGAGGAGGATTTCCTGCTTGGACTAAAACATATAAGGAACGGTTGCTGGAATTGGGTATGCCTAGTTTAATGAAGAGAAGGACGAGGGTGGAACATGATAGCAGTGTTCCAATATCTCAGGGGCTGCCATAAAGAAGAGGCAGTCAAGCTATTCCCCAAAGCGCCTGAAAGCAGGACAAGAAGCAATGGATGAAAACTAATCAAGGAGAGAAGCAACCTAGAACTAAGGAGAAATTTCCTGACAGTTAGAACAATTATCCAGTGGAACAACCTGCCTCCAGAAGCGGTGAATGCTCCAACACTGGAAGTTTTTAAGAAGAGACTGGACAGCCATCTGTCTGAAATGGTGTAGGGTTTCCTGCCTGAGCAGGGAGTTGATCTAGATGACCTCCAAGGTCCCTTCCAACATCATCATCATCATCATCATCATCATCATTATTATTATTACTATTACTATTATTATTATTATTATTATTATTATTATTATTATTATTATTATTATTATATGGATCATCGCACAGTCAGCCAGATGACCTCCAAGGTCCCTTCCAACTTTATTATTATTATTATATGGATCATCGCACAGTCAGCCAGATGTTCAGACTGGATTTGGCATTTTGTCTACCTATCGAGTCCTTATCCAGGACCTGGGATAGGCAGATGTGGATGTTTGATGGTATTACAGATATCGTCGCAGGATGGAAGCAGTTCCTAGTAAGGCCGCCTTTTGCATTTGACTAATGGCAAATTTGTCAATGCCAATGGTGTTCAAGTGGTGCTCCAGTTGTTTTGGGATTGCAACCAAGGCGCCTATTACTATTGGTACTACCTTTGCTTGCTTTTGCCACAGTCTTTCTATTTCTATTTATAGGTCTCTGTATTTTGTTATCTTCT